AATATATTGCTTGTTGACGGTAAGCAAACGCGCAAGAAAGTAGACAATAGGTTGAGCCGGAGTACAATGGACAAAACATCCATGCAAAAGTGTTCTTGTATGTGAATCACCTATTCTATAGGATCAGTAACTTCTGGACGTCATTTCCGAAATCCCATCTCATTCGCCAAATTAATCATGAATGATTCATACCATTGTGGTTTGAGTGGTGAGGGAGCTCTGAAATTTGCAGAGGAAAACAGGATTTCCTGTTATTTATGACAACGAACAACTGATCACCCATCGTTCAGAGCAGGAGAAAATTTCCTATGATCATCTTGTTTGTTTCATAAACTATCGCATGCGGGGATTGCTCGTCGATGAGAGTGACGGGGATGATAAAACAGCACCAGTTGTTGCAGGAGATATCAGTGGTGATACAGCACCAGTTGTTGCAGGAGATATCAGTGGTGATACAGCACCAGTTGTTGCAGGGGAAGGTAGTAGTGACACAGTATCAGCTGTTGCTAGGGATGCCAATGGTCATTTCGCTTGCGCGCTTTCAACAGGTATGACATGCAGAATACGATTTCTTATATTTCCAAAGAAGACATATAGCTAAACATATTAAGGCAATTCCTAATGTACCATTTCTAATTGTGACTTGTGGTCAAACTATGAATATAGTCGTTGACTTATTTCTAAGAATATACAGGAGGGCCTCGCCCCCTTGACTGATCTTTTGTATTTTAATAACAAGCCTGCCTATGTTAAAAATTGCGTAGTTCGGAAATCAATTCGGGAATTAGTTATTCGATGTATCAGATAGACCTAAACTACTGAAAAATTCTGAAAGTTTGCACAAATTTTTCGACAATGCAGAGTAGGTCTTGCGATCAAGTCGCAAATCTCTTTTTCGAAGAGATGACTCACCATGTTCCACCCTGCTATTTACCGTAATGACTGTATGGTTTTGGTGTATTTAATCGATTGCAGGCGGTTTGTCAGGAAGAAAGAAAGGTCGTGTCAGTGATGTATCGATGGTTGGTTGTGGAGGTTACGCAAATAAATATGGAGCAGCAACTACATGTGGAATAGGAGAATCCATAATTAAAATGACTTTAGCCAAAGAGGTCGTCTCTGGAATGGAAAGCCGCGGTCAAAGTGCTCAGGTATCACTGTGAGATGAGCAATTTTATCAGAGCTATTTCAGTACCAAAAGAGTTACCTACCTAAACCGTGAATTAGTATGAAATGTGGAAAATTTTGTACTGATAAAAAGCCAATAGGGGGATTAAGCAGTGATTACGACTACGAGTACAAGACTCGTCATTTTCCCGCCAAACTCGCTGCTTTTGCCTGCGACATCTGATGAAACTCGTAGTCGTTTAGCTTTCGAGTACGAAATTTACCAACAAACTACGCGCGGGAATGACGAACTTTATACTCGTAGTCCTAGTCACTGCTAGCCTAACTAAACTTCCTAAAAATATCACCACTCTGAACACAGAGGTAAACTGCCTTCGAATAATCACGGCGATCCACGGTTAACTGTTTTTATTATTTGCCATAGGATTCTTCACAAGCGTCTTTGGACAAGATGAGAAGACAAGTGCCTGACGTAGGTGGTGTTATTGCGATTGATCAGCAGGGAAATTTTGGCAAGTATTGTACTTCTACAATGATGGGTTGGGCAAGCATCAAGAATAACATACTGGAATTTAGCTTGGAGGGAAACGAAGAGCAAGTGTAAAAGAGTGATGTTTTAATGAACTGATTTTACAATGCAATTTGTATCCTCAAGGTAGTTTCATAAACAGTTATAGAATCCAAACTTATTAACATTTTTTATATTCCTAGCATTACAGTAATTCACTGCAGTAGTTCTATAAGATAAGCATCATTTAAAGCATTTCATATACTTGGAAGAACTTATAAACAGTAGGAATTAAGGGATGTAATATAATTGCTGGGCTTTGGCCCCTGCAAAATGAAGTATCAGAAAATAGGCCCTAACCTAGTTTGGGATATCACGAGTCTTTTATCGCACAGACAAACAGTCAAGTGGAACTATTCTCACTAGATAAATTTCAAACGAATGCGATCGCGAAAAATCGATTGCGCAACATTTTGAAGTGAATGGAAATCCACCATTACTAGGCATTAGCTTTACGAGTTGTAAAAACTTTCTACAGTTGAGAGGGTTGAGAACGAAGATGTAGAGGGTGAGACGACGAAGAGGTTGAGACGACGGTATCTCTTCACGTCCGCGTCACAGAATAGAAAATTCAATTTCTCTTTCTGTTTATTTCGCTCATTCTAACTATTCTCGCTACTGTCCAGGAGAACTGCGCGACTTATTTTGTCTGATTTCAGACCGCGTTCGACGCCTTCTGTTTTAAATCTCAATCGCAAGCATCGAATAACAACGATACATACCTTCGAGATATCTTTCTTATGACTCTTTTAAGTTTTAATCGCAAACCTGGTTTGCTTTATTAGCTGCGTGAGAAAACGTCAGCTCATAGTTTTGTAATCTGAATTTTGTAATGTTCAAAAACTCGCAGATTAAAAATGAAAACAACATGAGCCAATTCCTCAACTATACGTCATATTCCCGAATTATTTATACTTCAAATCTTCTTTGGACAAAAACCTCTACGCACTGAATTGTATACACTCGCAATTGTGCTTGTGAATAGTTCGTGAACTACACTGTAGAAACTACACTGTATGTATAAATACGGGGTGGGGACGAACTAGGAAAAATTCATCTAACGGCTCTTTTTACAAAATAAATAATTTCGAAATTCTCGCCCACTTTCTGTTACGTCTGACATATTCGTCTACACAGTTCGTCCAGATATAGTTCGTCCAGAGCGATGTCAAAGAGTCTGTGTCTTTGTACACCGTGAACGGATTTGTCTCCTCTTGTTGTTAAAAAGACTTTTTAACACTTTCCTCGACTATAGCGGTCAATCTGATGACTAAATTTTGGCTTCAAATACGATGACCATGCAGAAATTTGATACAGAATAACGCAAGCCATAAAAGTACATAATAAATTAGGCTCGTACACCGGCACGGCCTGATTGCGAAAAATATTTATAATCCACTTACTTTTCAATCTGTCTCTGTCTTTTCATTGGAAATAGAGAATAATGTTTTCCATAAGTTCCATTGGATAGAATAGTGTTCAAGCAGTAATAAGGAAGGAAAGTAAACATGTTATGAATGTGAAACCAGTTCCAAAAGTTGTTGACAATGAACGCCAATATAGTCAGATTAACGGACATATTTAATCGCCTTTCATTGCAGAAAGACAGGTTCATATTCCTTGTCATATCGTATTACAAACGTTTTCCTGTTCACTTGTCGAGTTGTCGTTTTCTTCGGAACACAAGATGAACTATATTTCTATCCAAAAATACTCGAGTGTTAATCTGGTTCTACAAGGTGTACTTTGCATGAAGAAACACATGTTTTTCTCATACGTGAGACTACAAAAAATCTAATGTCTTTCATATTCAAATGTATTATGAACCTGTGACCAACCAGATCAGGATTGGTCAGTTACTGAATAAAATTAACCAAATATTATCATTGGGGCTCCTTTGATTTCTTTGTTTTAAAGAAAGAAACAACGATTATATTAATATTTAGGTTATTTATTCAGAAATCTACCACCACTGACCTGATTTGAAAATCCACTTGTGCCCAACGCGTGATCTGTGTCACATCAGCCACCTTGGCATGTTCAGTGGCGTAGCCAGCCTCACGATTTTGTCCATGTGTTATGGACACTAAATCAATGACAAAATATTTGCATAGCTAGACAAATCGACAGGCTGGCTACGCTACCTGACATGTCCACGACATTCACGATTAAAACGAAACCAGGAATTTTTAATCTCTTAAGCCCCGTACAGACGGGCATGTTTTCCTTGACAAGTTTTCTCACAGTTATTAACATGTCATGTCAAGTCACGGTTGAGGAGCTAAGCCAAAGCATTGCTATTGGTTAGTTGGGCAAAAATACAATAGACATGTGACGTTATGATAAGGACCATTTTTTGCATAAAACTGGACAATAACATTGATAATGAGTTGTATTGTACTTCCATCTAGTCTCCAAATTATATTCTAATTCAGACTTTACTATTGGATGATTTGTTCAAAATACAATAGACACGTGAACAATTTTTTTCATAAATGTTCCCCGACATAGTTAACGAGTTCTATTGTACTTTTATGTTGTCTCTAAGCCATGTATTATGTATATTCTATTAACTGTGGCTTTCTTGACCAGTTCACTTGCTAGTGTGTATGACGAACAAGTTTTCGTTGACAAGTTTTATTTGCTCGTGTGCACGCGAAAAAATTGGCAAATTTTTCTTGACAAGTTTTACGATAATATGAATATATTTTACGATAATATGAATATATTTTACGATAATATGAGCCATGATAAAATGAGTAGACGACCGAATCTCAAAACAAACAGAAATTATAAAACTTCAAAAGCCTGCTGGATTGGCTCGAAGATTGTTGCGCCGTTCCCTACTGCGGAATTCCTTGTCAAGTTTTCCTTGACGGCCGTACACACGAGCATTTTTCCTTGTCAAAAACCTGGCATGACTAGCATTTGAACAAGGCTCCTTTTCAAGAAAAACTTGTCCGTCTGTTGTTTTATACACCCTGTAGAACCCGGAAGATATATTCTGTTCTTTAAAGCCTTTTAAATGGTAATTGCGATGAGTGAAGTGCAATTTGATCTGGAATTAAACAGAACGCGACTTTACAAATCCCCATTAAAACGTGACGGGAGTAAGACTTGTATTATCGCGCAAGTTTGACCTCATACAAAAATTACGCGCAAAGAAGGTTTTAGGATTTCTTCTGGAATCCCGGATATAAGGTATCGATTTAATTTCCTCTTCCCACCGTCTATGTGATCTATGTTTTGATGCATGCATATAAACAAATTCGCAGAACAGCGTGATCTTTGAACTTGTTTATCGTTGGTTTGTTCGGCAGCAATTATAAAGGCGGTTAAGGTAAGCTTAAACATAGCATGGATCTTGTGTTAGTTTGTAGAGGTATATATCTTAGTTATATGCCTTATTTACTCCAAATACGATCGATCGATCGGCAAGGTTGTTATATAACTGACTGTCAATGCTGCGACTGTTAATTTGCTTTTGGTATTTTATCAATGGAATTCATGGAATGTTTTCCTCGTATACGCCTTCAGATTATAAAATATTGTAGTTTGCCCGGCTTTTCTTTACACGAATTAAGGCCCCAAATTTGTAGCCTATCTATCGGGGATTTATATCCTTATAAAAATCTAAAACTAATTCTTGATTCATGCACATCATCTAAAACTAATTGAGTACCGACTTTTTCGCCAGGAATTTTCCAAGAATTACAAAATGAAAATTGATGAGTTTCTGGAATCTTGATTCCCAGAAAATCTGCCAATGTCTAAGAAATTGAGTCCGTTTTAAATTGAAGCGTGATAGAATATGTAACTGCGTTAGTTTCTCCAAATGTAGAGTCCGCAATGCTATAATTACATAATTTTTTAACATCCAAAAAAGTTTTTTAATGTCAGATTAGGATATTTAGGGACTCCAATGATACCTCAAAGGGGGTTACAGTCGCTTCGCCGCATTGGTTCTGCTCATAACAATGAGGATTCTACTTGTTTCAAATTCCTCAAATGTTATGTATATCTCTCAAAATAAACTCTCTCTCTCATATTCATTTAATTATTATCGATGTAGCTAATTACAGCAACATGCAGTTAGAACAGGGACCGCAAGACGCTTGTGACAGTCTCCCTGTTTGCGAGTAAATAAAGCCCCTTACAGACGAGCAATTTTTTTATGACAAGTTTTCGTGTACTGACAAGTTTTAATTGTTCGTTTGTATACGCAACGTTGACAATTTTTTCTATGACAAGTATTCTTGTTCAAAATCAATTGTCAAAGTACAAATTTCGCTCGTGTGTATGAATCAACAAAGAAAATTTGTCAAAGTAATGTGAGCACTTGTATGAGTTTGACCAGCGGACTATTGTATTTTGTAGTGACAGCTAGCATTAGCGCTGTACCCTTGACTGATTTGGCGGTAAAAAAACTGCTCAGGTTAAAACGGAGAGTTTATGGAATAATAATTCGGAATCATATAGAGATAGAAACAAGAAAAAGACTGAATTACGTTATTTTTACAGTACAATCCTTACGTTATTACATTATTCAGAAATGAAATGGCACCTGTTAGCGCGCTAACGTCCCCCGCTGTGAACACACGCTTAGTAGGATCAACAAATCTGTGTCATTGAGTTGGCTATTGCTATAATTTGGAATTTTTTTATCAACAAGGAACGTAATATGGCAGATAGCATAAAGATTACTATTGAGATTCCCAGGGCAGTTGTTAGAGACGTAATAGTGGGAGCAGTGGGAATCGGTGCAATATATGCTGGATATCGCATATTTAGAGGAAGTATTGATGCCGCTGTTACTAAAGCCTTCGGTGGCGAAAGATCAGATCAAAAAGTCGAGGATATTAAACCTGGATCTTTGCATGTTTGTCTGCGTTGTTTCACCGACGAAAGATTTCTCGAAGTTTTAGAAGAATATAAATCTGGAAAAATAAAGGAACGTTTGGAGAAGGAACTTTCGGACATTGGAATTGAAACGGAGGGATTGGTGGTGGTTGGCATCGAGAATATCAAAGAAGTTGAAAAAAAGGCAGCAGCTTTGAAGATTAGGTAAAAATTATTATTCTTTCTCTAATTCTGGATATAGCACTCCATGGTACAAAAAAGCCTCTGGTTATAACTTCATATACCTGTATCGTGAACTGCACTGTCTATACCGATTCTTGGATTTTTTGTAGTGTGTAGTCCTCTTTTCTCCGTTTTTGTGTGTTTTGTTTTGTGCATACTGTCGATAGCTTCAGACTGTTGGCGAAAGCAAACATGTCATAATTGGTATAGACAGACGAATCTCGTGACAAGATGTGCGTTGCATGTATATATATATTCGTTTTTTTATTTATACTTATACATAATGCAATTCCAACGTTACCGTAACTCTGTGATAAGGTCCTATTTAATAGACCCCTTCCATAACAGACGCGTTTGAAACGTTTCTGTTGCCATGGGAACGGGTGCCGGGCACAAGTTCTGAATAGATTTCAGTCTAGTATATTATCTTTTAATAACTGTATAAACGTTTACGATTTTAACTGCTTTTTATGACAATTTTTATCAATATTGACATATCGTACTGTTTAATGATCCATTGCCTAAATTTGGTAATGTTCAAAAACTCACAGATTAAAAATAAGTCATATCACTCAACTATACGTCATGTATATTCCCGAATGATTGTTTTTTCAAATCATCTTTGGACAAAAACCTCTACGCACACTGAATTATATATACACTCGTAATTGTGTTTGTGAATAGTTCGTAAACTACACTGTATGTATAAATACGGGGTGGGGACGAACTAGGAAAAACTTTCATCATAACGGTGATTAACGGCTCTTTTCACAACATAACGGCTCATTGACTTGTTCAGCAGCAATTATAAAGGGGGTTAAGGTAAGCTTAAACATTACAAAGCATGGATCTTGTGTTTGTAGAGCTTTATGTCGTAGTTATATGCCTTACTTACTCCAAGTACGATAGATCGATCGGCAAGGCTGTTATTTAACTGACTGTCAATGCTGCGACTGTTAATTTGCTTTTAGTATTTTATTAATGGAATTCATGGAATGTTTTCCTCGTATTACGGTTTACTAGTTTGCCTTGCTTTTCCTTGCACGAAGGACCCAAGTTTGTAATCTATTGGGAATTTATATCCTTATAAAAATCTAAAACTAATTCTTGATTCATGCACATCATCTAAAATTTATTGAATACCGACTTTTTTGCCATACCAGGAATTTTCCAAGACATACAAAAATGAAAATTGATGAGTTTCTGGAATCTTGATTCCTAGGAAATATGCCAATGTCCAAGAAAATTAGTCTGTTTTAAATGGACGACTTGCGCCTTAAACTAATTTCCTACCTCGGCGATAAAAAGGACGTTTTCTGAAAGAGCTTACTAAAATTAGTAAAACTCCATGCCAAGATTGGCTGCGAATTGTTGTAAATTACGGAAAATATAGCCATGCAAAGTTGACAAATTTTGTATACTTTTGTATTACGGCCGGAAGTTTGTAACTAATTTAGTTACACATGCATTTCCTAGTTTCGCATCTTGTATAACGCGCACCATGCAAACTGACTCTAAAAAAGTTTACTCATACTGCGAACTTTCCCAAACATGTGGAGAACACTGTTTATATAATTTAAATTTTCTTTTTTAAAAGCCAGGAAAAATTTTGCATAATGTCAAAATCAGCCTCCCGCGTTGGAAAACCAGATCAGAGTATTGCGAAAAAAGATCTCACTGCGAGCCCTGGTGGTACTTTTGAGATTACTATCGACGTTGACAGGGCAATTGTTCATGAACGGCCAGCAATCAAGGGAAAACTTGGCGCATTATTTGAAGTATGCAAAAAAATCGATCAGGCTATTATAAGAATCCTGGGTGGAATAAGAAAGGATCAATATTTTGAGGACATTCCATCTGGAAGTCTTTTTGTCTCACTGCATTGTTTCACAGACGAAAGATTTTCCAACGTTTTTGAAGATATTGCGTCTGGAAATTTAAGACAAAAATTGGAGCAGGAGCTTTCAAATATCGGAGTAGAAACAGAGGGATTGGTGGTTGATATTATGAATATAGAAGAAGCTGAAGTTTTGAAAACTAATATAGACGAGAGGTAATAGTAATCTATATGCGGATTGCCACAACATTGCAGAGTATATGGGTATATGGTTCAATCTGAAAATCTAATCATGCACTGGTTCACAATTGTGCATTTCTGTATCACTATCAAAGAGAATACTATTAAGATGGCTCGATACACTTTTCAAAAATTCCATTGTTCATCACTTTGACACGTTCAAACAACGCATTTTTATGATTCTGATAGCAGCATTTATGTTTATGTTTCTCGCTGGTTTTGGCAGTGCGTTAGAAAATAAAACTAGACAAATATCGCGAGCCTATTAATGTTTCCACGCGCAAGAGCGCAACTAAATATACTGTATCGAGCCACCTTAAATAAGTTTAAAAATTTAATTTTTTCTTCTGATTAGCTACAAATCCTGTAAACGTTTGACAGCTCATCATACACGAAAGTTGTATTTTGTTGAACATTTATAAATCATTTTTATCGAGTCTATGCATTATTAAGTTAAGTCTTAACAATTTCCACATTTCGGTGCCGAGTATACCACATGGATAATGGCGTTTCATAAGCAAATTAAAAAGATATAGATATAGATATAGATATATAAAAACATGCTACATATACATATACAAAATATACCTATTTTACAGACAGAAAAACAAGAAAACAGGAAATCCGGAACAAGAAGACGTAGAAAGTTTGAAATCAGCTGAAAGAGAACAAGGTATAAAGAAACTTGTATTTATATTAACTAATTACTTAGTGTTGAGTGCTGATATTTTACCGTACAGAGAAAACAGCATTCTATTTTGTAAAATATACAAGAAGATTCAAGATTTAAAGTTATTGCTATATTTTTTCACAGGGCAATAAGAATTGTGTATTTATGGCGTAAGCAATACGGGAAAATCCTGCTTTCTATATTAGGGAATATTTTTTCTTTCCTCCAACAAATAGAAACTACAGAGTCGCTTTTAATGAAAAGACATCTGACATCTGCTGCATTAAACTATAGGTTTAATTCGGATCCTTGCAATTTCTTTAAATGGTTGAACGCGCATTTTGAACATTGATATTAGGCATCTAAATATTTGCTCCAGTGCTAAAGTTTAAAGATGATGTTCTGCTCATATCAACTAAGCATCAGCTCCAAATACATGCGAGTAATACATGTGAAAGGATGTCTATTTTTTATGTATACTAATTCCCCTCGGATATTTACACAAACGATGTGCAAATGCGAAATCAAAGTCGTCCGCCATTATGCAATGGACCTCACATCGCCATTATGCAATGGACCTCACACCATCACAGTTTAATGATATACAGTTATGGAACTCGCGGCGGAACCCTTTGATGTTGCTGTCCCGTGCTACGCCATTTCACGCGCCACGAAAATTGCTCTGGCAAGTGTATTGGCTCTATCAAACTCCATTTTTTCGCCTAGATTTTAAAAATAAACGGTAAATGATTGTTTTTTTGTAAGAAATATATGCGTTAGGTTAAAGATGTAAGAAATACAAGCGCGAATGATTTTCTTTGTAAATGACAAGCTGATTGCCAACATCGTCGCCGATTATAAATTAGGCAGTTATTTTTCCATCCAGAAAACATCTGAGCTGATCTTAAAACAAGCATGATTGATGTGTTATTTCTACAATTCAAAATACACGAACAAAAATTCTTTGAAGATAATTTATTTTGCCATAAAACTAGCGAAAACTACATTTTTTATTCGAATCTGGAACTTGAATTCAAAGGGTTTACAATAAACAAATGCAACTTTTACCTATATATACAATACTTTTTACATGAGTATAAATCCAACTGCACACACAAATGGTAAATGCTAACAGACATTAATTTCTCATACATGATTTTAATATTCATGGGGACATGCAAATCAATTTCCAATCTAATCTAAAATTAATTATGCACTTCTGTGTGGCTTCTATGAGAAGATTGAAAGCTATTTTCCAATTTTTTGATGTGAATATCTAATGAAAAAAAAGGAATATTTTGTGCTCCGAAACTATACTCTTAAAAAAATACATAAACCATATGTGTTTCTCATGTGATTCACATGTGCATACATGTGATCATATGTGGTTCACATGTGAATATACGTGGTTAGATGGAGTCTACATGTGAACCACATGTTATACGCATGTAGTTGCATGGGGAATATCTGTCAACACATATGGTTCATATGTGATCACAAGTGCTTCACATGTGAAAATACACTTAACTTATAGATATACCTACTTAGATATGCGGCTCACATGTAAATAATATCATCGATAGTTAAAAGACTTTAATTATAGTAATTTTATTAACCAATAATAGTGATTTTATCATCCGTGGTAATATTTATATATAACGTATTTGTTAATTAATCAACAACACAAACAATCCAGAAGATGTCTTCTGGATTCATTGGATTGTCTATATCATTTTGACTATATACTTCGCTCATACACACTATATAGCGATAACTGGGAAATATCCTCAATAGCGGTGTATGTTTTAGCAAAGAAAGAGGCAGAACATAGTGACATTATGCGCTAGAAATATATTGTTTATAGTCTTTTCTAGATCAACATGTCCTTCCACTAAAACTGTGGGACATAGTCATAGTCGTGTGGAATGTTGTCTTCCAAACATGTGCGGCACATCTCGCTCGCTCAAACTTAGTTGTGTATAGTAATAAAATAAAATAATGTATTTTTCTAGATGGCAAGACAACGTTCTTAAAGTTAACTTTTGAGCAGATGACATATCACGACATTCGGAGTTCTACTGTTCAAGTTAGCAAGTTAGATGGCTGTTAAATTTTGTCAGCAAATGCTTTAAAAATTGCCTATATTTTCGCACTTATCTACTCTACTTGAACAAATATTTTCATGAGAATTGAGGAAAACTATCATTGTTTTGTTTTTTAACGTTTTTTTTTTTGTTTTCATCAGCGTTTGTGCGTATATTTTTCAATTGTTTACATACTTCATCAGAGCTCGTAGAGTTGCCTATATATAGTATATAAATTTCGCATGGATAAACTTTGATTCTTTAAAAATATATGGCCGTTGCGAGTTGCGACTAACTTGCAAGTTGCTATGACTACAGTGCTTCCACGTGCAGAAAAATATTTCCATTCTTTTCTCAATTTCTTTTTCTCACGTACCATGAACCCTCCAAAACCGCCAACCCACATAAATTTTCTGACAATCATGTTACCATCCCTATGCTTAACTAATTTCGTTTAACCGAGGCGAGGGGTTGCTGCATGCATGTATTTCTAGTTGTCTAACCGAATTGTACGATTTATAACTGCATTATGTTTTTCAGCAATGACCATTCCACAGATTATTGTAAAGGGTGGTGCCTATTTTCAGAAAACCAGTGATATTTGTGACAAAAGCTACATAGATTTGATCAAGAAATCCACAAGAAAAGGATATGAAATTTTGATGGTAATTTGATAAAATTTTTACGAAAATGCTGATGATTCATTTCTCATCGGAAGACGGAACGACCATATACACACTATTAAATGTTAAATATTTAGAGAATACATGGATCATGAATGCGCGGAATATATTTGGGAATAATAACGAACGAGTGAGAAAAAAACCCTGTTTTTTGCATTTCTTTCACCTCCCGGACGCGTATATTTGCTTCCTGATTGGTTGATCAAATACGATAATCGCACATGTGTTACAATAATCCCACATAATTATGTTAAAACACTGCATACTATATTTTTTTATTCTATGATTATAATAGCGCGGTGGGACGGCAGTTGATGCGGTAGAAGCAGCAGTTTGTTTTTTGGAGGACAGCGAACATTTTAATGCTGGTTACGGGTCCATATTGACCAGTGACGGTGAAGTTGAATGTGACGCTATGATCATGGATGGAAACACATTGAGCAATGGTACAAACTATTTTGTGTTCAGGGATTTTTTTCACCGCATAGGGAGTAGTAATACGGACTTTAATTTGCGAGGCTACAGACAACGGACTACAGCTTACCGCGTGCTTCCTTTACCGATAGCCCTTAATTTATTAGTCGCGTAATAAATTTTGTTCGTAAATATTGCAAAGCCCAAAAAGTGCGGGATGACTTCTTTGGGTTTCATGGATGGGTTCCATGAATTCACATTAACCTGTTCTGTTCCGCTCCATTACTGCTCTTGATATTCGGAGTACTTGGAAATCCGGAGTGTGAACAATAAATGGATGCCCTCGTCCCAGAGCAGTTCACGCCCGTAGTCCGTTGTCTGTAGTCGCGCAACTTAAAATCCTTGCACAGTAGCGATGCACATGAATAACGATGCATGCTATTGGCTATAAATTTCCAAAGAGAATTTTAGAGCTCATGTCTCATACTAATATATAGAATTATTCTTTTTAATGAATTATTTATTATTTATCTTTTTTAAATGGTATATGCTAGTGCACAGCTGGCGGATATATTTTACGGACAGTGGTAGATTTAGCGTTAGTGAAAATAAACTATAGCAGGTCACATTTTAAAATTTTAAAAATGCTTCTTAAATAATCCTAAAAATTAAAATTAATAACCAATTCAGGAACTTTAAATTTAAATTTGTAAAGCAGTATTTTATTAACATTGCATGGACCCGCCACTGTTCATGCGAGATTCCATATTGATTACCCGAGGAAATATGCATCCCCGAATAGTGAAACTGGTTCCTATTTCGAAGCATGTTTATTTTTTAACGACATTTCTGTGTTAAAAATTGCTTATATATACCATATACACGACGCGTAATCCTTTTTCAAAACATTGTCGCGTTGCGAGTTGATGTTTAAAGTTGTTCGTGTAACATTCCCTTTACTACAACGCCAAGTTAATTATCACACCCAGAATTGTTCTTACAATATTTCTACCTCTACAGGAGCAGTAATATCTGGACGCCATTTCAAAAATCCAGTTTCACTCGCCAAACTAATCATGAATGATACAGATCACTGTGCCCTGAGTGGTGAAGGAGCTCTGAAATTTGCTGTAGAAAACCAAAAATATTTCTTGATTTGTGATCAGACTGATTTGATCGCTAAAGATGTGAAAGAACAAAAAATTCAATATTCCGAATTCCGTGGCTATGTTCGTAAACGCTTTAAGTCAGAGTCGAGTGACACCGTATCGGCTGTTGCCAGGGCCAAAATGGTCACTTCGCTTGCGCGATGTCAACAGGTATCCGTCGTTTGTATCTGTGGCTAAAATCTTAATTAGACAAAACGCTTGAAACATCAAGCTGGTTATGTCATATTCTTGAAGAAGTCAATTTGCCTATATATATTTGTCTCTTAGCAACTAGCATAGTTAGGTCTAGACCCCGTTTACACTATACCGTTATAAGTTGTTTTATGGTATCTCTGTCCCCAGACCTTTTTCATTTCGCGATCATGTTAAAGCAATCATGCTATGATATTTTTGGGGATAAAACTCGCTCTAACGTGCTTAATAATTGGTTTCGTGACCATGCGAGTCCGGTATGCAAACAGGACCTAAGAAACACTTTGTCATGCGGGAAATTTTTTTCGGAAGATTCGATATCTTACGAGAAGTTAAAAGATTTTCTTAAAAAGTTGTATGCGGAATCATTTGCCATATTTCTTCGAGGAAGTTTTAAGTTAAGCCGACAACCGGTGCAAGATGTTCACGTCGGTCTTTGCGGCCAAACCGTAACTAAGCGTTGTTAAAACATGAGTAACGCCCGCGTACACTGCGAGTTTATTCCAGCTTTAACGCTTCTCCTTATTTATTTAGGCGGTGTACCGGGAAGATTGTCTGGTCGTGTCAGTGATGCATCGATGGTGGGTTGTGGGGGTTACGCAAATGAACACGGAGCAGCAACCACATCTGGGCTTGGAGAATCCATAATAAAAATGACATTGGCAAGAGAAGTAGTTTATATGATGGAAAGTGGACAGAACGCCAAGGTTTGGTTACGAAAAGTAAACCAGGCAACAACTCGCTTTGCTTATAGAGAAAGCCCGTTCGACAAAATGCTTTTATCTATTGTTTTCGTATGTTGGTGGGCATAAAAAGAGCGCCACTCTCTATCTTACTAAAAGCCAAACATGAAAACCAGATTATTCACTGTTGTTGCATGCAATGAAAATGTTAAGCCCCGTACAGACGGACAAGTTTTCGTTGACAAGCTTT